ACCCGGGCACATGCAAACCCAGGCCAGTCGGGCTCTGAAAGATCCTGCCAGATCCTGCGGGATCCCGCGCGCCAGCCTGGGCCGGTCTTGCGGCGAGCCCCGGGGGGCAGAGAGCAGGGGGCTCGGCAGTCCCCTGGCCTCCCGAGAAGTTGTACAGGCCCTCCCCGAAGACAGACCACCTCTCAGAAGGCTGGCGGCCTTCTGAGAAGCCCCGCCGCCTGCCGAGAAGGCCTTTTTCCTTCTCGCCTCCCCCCCCTTCGCCCGCCGGCGATCGGTGCAGCCCCGGCTGACCCCCGCTTGCATGGACCCCCGTCTCGAGGCTCCCAGATCCATCCCCCCCACCCCCCCGACATCCGCCGACGTGATTTCTGCCATCCCCGGCCCCAGAGGAGCTCCCGCCCGCATCCCCAGGGGTATGGCTCTTCCTCCCGGAACTATGTGCTCGAGGGCCCCCACGGGCCCGATCCCGGCCCCGGAGGCCCCAAGATCCAGGAGAGAAGACGCCAGCTTGAGGCCATCACCTCCTCGGATGTCTAGAGGCCTCCTGGATGGGGTCGGAGTAGATGGGGTCGGAGGACCGCGCCGCATCGCCGATACATCGGCGATACATCGGCGATGCATCGGCGATGCATCGGCGAAGCACCGGCGATGAGGCGTCGACGTCGGCGATGTATCGGCGACGTCGGCGTGGAGAAAATCGGACTCCGCATCGAGCCGCATCGTCGATGCATCGACGATGCGGCGCGATCCTCCGACCCCATTTACTCCGACCCCATCTAGGAGGCCTAGAATGTCTGGGCCCGACGTTGCCCCGGGCCTCGGCCTCGGGGACAAGGAACGGCCAGACCTCCGGCGCCCGCCTCCTGCACGGCAGCCAAGGGGGGGGGGGAGGAGAGGCGCGCAGGCGCGCGCCGCGGCCGCGCGCCAGGGCGCGTCCTCCTCTGCGAGGCGGGGCTTTCTCCACGGCCACCTCCTGCCTCCCAGACGCCCAGGGCGGCCGTCAAGACAGCCCTGAAGCGCCTCAAGATGGCACAGAGGCGCCCAAGACGGCTTCCGCGGGCGTCAGACGGGCCAGGAACGCCCTGAAACGGTCAAAGGGGCCCCCAAGGAGCCCCCAAGGGCCCTCAAGAGGTCCGAGGAGGCTCCCGAGAGGCCTCTGAGAGGCCCCCAGGGAGCTTCCAGGAGGCCCCACAAACGACCCAAGAAGCTCTTCAAGAGTTCTGTTCATCCTTCTCCTCATACTCCTATTTCATCCCTTTCCTCCTCCTCCCCCAGTGTTCCCCGAAGGGTTTCCACAACGGCTGGGGGAACGCATGGTCCAATAGCGTGGCCAAACTTTGCCAAACCGTTTGGCCACATAGGTGTATCCTGGGAGGCAGGGGGCGGCGTTGATTCGCCGAGTCTTCGATCCGCCGCCCCCTCTTGGCTTGCCACAAAGGCGCCCAGCGTGCTAAAAAGTCCTTGGTTCTTTTTAACACTCCCCCTGGGGCTTCGGCCGAGCGCGCCGGCCACTCGGCAAGCTCCGGGCGGGGTGGTTGGCAAGGGTTTTCCGCTCTGGATGGCTCCAAGATGCCACAACATGGCCTCCAAGACGACCAAGATGGCCTCCAAGACCGCCAAGATTTTCCAGGATGGCCTCCAAGACGGCCCGAGAGAGTGTACGATACCCCCAAGTTCGCCCACGAAACTTCCATGACGGCCCAAGACGGCCCCACCAGAGGCCCCCAAGAGGCATTCAAGACGGCTCAAGAGCCCTCCAGGAGGCGCCCGATAAGGCCAATATCACTGATTTTCCCTAGGTTGTTGAAAAATGTGGCCAAGTACTTGTTCTGCCTTCCGACGGCCTAATACGGCCCAGAACGGCCCCAAGACCGCCCCAATATGTCGCCAAACGTACCCAAGATGACATCATGACGGCCCAAGAGGCCTCCCAGACGCCCATGATGGCCTCCAAGACGGCTCTGGAGAGCTCCAACTGGGCCCCAAGTCGGTTCAATGACGCCCTCATGACTGCTTCCGACGGCATCAAATAGGCCAGGAAAGCCCTAGGACAGTCAAAGGAGGCCCCGAATGAGCCCCAAAAGGCCCCAAGGAGGCCCAAGGAGGCCCCCAAGAGGCCTCTAAGAGGCCCCCAGGAAGCTCCCAAAAGGCCCCACGAATGACCCCAAAAAAGCCCAAGATGTCTCATCATGTTTTTTCTCCTCCTCCTTTTTCCTCCCTCTCCTCATCCTCCTCTTCCTCCCCGACATGGTTCCGGACGGACTTCCACAACGGCTGGGGGAACGCATGGTCCGCCAGCGTGGCCAAATGTTGCCCAAACGTTTGGCAACATAGGTGTATCCTAAAAGGCAGGGGGCGGCGGTGATTCGCCGTACCTTCGATCCGCCACCCCCTGTTGGGTTACCACACGGGTGCCCAGCGTGCTAAACTTCATATAGCTGTTGATGATTTGTAAGTGAGGCTCCCACATTGGGTCTTGTCCTAGCGCTCTGGCCACCCAGAATCCCACCAGCCCTCTGGGCGTAGGTGATCTAGGGAGTTTCCTCTTACAACCCCAGTTTTCCCTTCGGGGTCGGTGTTATCACTGTTCCCTCTTGACATACACCCCTCCCCCAGGCGACTGGCAGCCAACCAGGAAAAATGAGGACCCCATGAGGACATAACCCAAACCATCCTTGTCAAAAACACGATACAACACACACTCTGCCTTCAAATTTGGAGCACGCGCAGCCAACCAACCCGATGAGGCCCCCCCCGCACCATCCCTATCAAAACACAATACACCATACATGTTAGGGAAAAATATGGAGTCATGTTCGTGAGGCCCGCGGGCTTTTTACGTTTCTAAAACTCACGGCGGGGGCGTCAGCATCTTGCCTGCTGTGCGCAGGGCTGCCATCCCCGACACAAACAAAAATCCGCCGACCCTGTCGTCGTGTGTGAGACGCTTTCGTCGGCGTGGTCGCCGCCATCCCTCCTGCAGCAATCCACTCCAGCCACTGCGCCACATAACATCCTTGACATGGAGGTGAAGGCGAAGCAATCGTCGCCCCGGGAGGGCTCCAAGACGCCCCGAATGGTCCTAATGGGCAACTGGCGTCGTCGTGAACATCGTCAACATCCTCGCCACTATCTCCCTCCTGGGAGCCGGGAGCCTGCCGCTGTCGGCCGTGCCGCTGCTCGTGCTCCCGGAGGAGGCACGGCGAGGAGACGGGTTGCAGGCACGCTCCTCCTCCTCCTCCTCCTCCTCCTCCTCCTCCTCCTCCTTCGCCCCCCTCCTCCTCCTCCTCCCTCCCTCCCTCCGTCCCTCCTCCCTGCTTCTCCTCCGTCCGCCTCCTCCTAATTGTCAACCTCCCCCTCCTCACGATCGCCACGCTCTGCTCGCCCCCTGCCCTTCCTCCGTGCTCCCCCCGCGACCCCGCGGCAGACGGGCCGGGAACGCCCCAAGACGACCAAAAGAGGCCCCGAACAAGCCCCCAGGAGGCCTCCAGGAAGCTCCCAGGAGACCCCAAGATTGCTGGGGGGGTGGCTGTGGAACCCTGGGACCCATCCCATCTGGGGGGGGGCTGATGTGAACACTCGACCCAGGATCATATATGTAGCCCCCCCAGGGCCCGAATATATCCATATGCACCGCTCTCCGAGGCCCTCGAAGCTGGATCCTGCAAGCGGTGGTGATGGATGAATCCCCGCCTGGGATGGAGGTCTCCGTGTAAAAGATTGAAGGCTTATGACCCCCGTTAGGGGACGATTCAACCGGATGAAGGCCAGATTGAGCCCAGGGTTAAGCCCGATTCGGAGAGATTACGCGGGATCAGAGGGAACTAAGTAGGAGTATTCCAGATTGGTCCAGGTAGTCGGCCACGGCTATGCTACCGCCGATTCTGAACATGACCTCCCAGGTGATGCGTCCCAACTTCCCCATCCTGGGTCCTGCTGGCGGGCCAGGTGATCAGCATCCTGGCCAGCGGGAAGAGGCACTGCAACGGCCGGGCCAGGAACACGGCGGAGGCGATGACGGCGGTGGCGAGGCCGATGTGGCCCAAGTTCCTTGAGCGTCCCCCCGAGGAGGCGGGGAGCGAAGAGGTCGGAGGGAACAATAAACTGTCGGCGCTGGAAGCTCGCCAGGTGCGGCGCTGGAGGCATCGCCAGGGGGGGCCCAGCGCCAATCCAACAAACCCGCAGGGACCTCAGAAGGGCCACGCTGATTTCAGTTGCTGCCCCTCGAAGTAGGCGGAGAGGGAAGAGGAGGGGGCAAAACTCCTCATAAACCAGACCGTCATGCCCACCACACACAGATGTGGGTTCACGAAGTGCAGGGTGGCCAGCACGACCCTAAACAGCAGGTACGCCATGAGGATGCACGTGGACATGGGAGCCTGCCAGGTGAGGACCTCGCTTATCCAGCGCAGCACTGGCAGAACCGACGACCTCTTGCAGGAATCGATCTGCCAACCGACCTTGCGGATCTCCTGCTTGACCTTGCCGGAGAGTAAAACATTCGGAATCTTCGGAATGGCGGTGCGAACGTGGACCTCGTCCTCGTACAGAGTCTCCGTCTGGAGCTGCTCCTCATCGTCGGCCTCGTCGTAGTGGACAACCACCTGCCTCCGTCCAGTGCACGCCTCTGGTGGGAGCACCTGGTCCACCGTCGCGCGCCGCCTCTCGTGAATCCTCACCTTGAGAAACAGACATCACCATAATCACACTGATTATCATTATTATCATCATCATCATCATCACCACCACCACCGTCATCATCATCATCATCATCATCATCATCATCATCATCATCATCATCATCACCACCACCACCATCACCATAATCATCATCATCATCAGCAGCAGCAGCATCATCATCACAATCATCATCACAATCAGCATCATCACTCCACCGCCACCACCACCATCAGCATCATCATCATCGTCGTCGCCGTCGTCGTCAGAATCCTCATCATGATCATGAACATCATCATCACAAGTATCGACATCATCATCATCATCATCATCAGCAGCATCATCATCATCATCAGTAGCATCATCATCACCACCATCACCATAATCATCATCATCAGCAGCAACATCATCATCACAATCATCATCACAATCAGCATCATCACTCCACCGCCACCACCACCATCAGCATCATCATCATCGTCGTCGCCGTCGTCGTCAGAATCCTCATCATGATCATGAACATCATCATCACAATTATCGACATCATCATCATCATCATCATCACCATCATCATCACCATCATCATCATCATCATCATCATCAGTAGCATCATCATCACCATCATCACCGTCGTCGGCAACAAGATCGAAATATGCATGATCACCATCATGACCATCAGCATCAGGATCGTGATCATCTTCATCAGTGTGATCATCATCATCATGATCATCAGCATCATCGAAATCTTCATCATCAGCATCATCATCAGCATCATCATCCCCATCACCACCAACATCAGAATTGTCAGCATCATCAGCATCATCATTACTATCATCTGTATGATCACAGTTATTGAGATCAATATTATGATCCTTATTAGTACTACTATTGTCGTTAGTCTCATAATCATAATCGTAATCATTAGCATTACCATCGTCGTCCGACGTCCGTCATCCATCGCCATCACCCTCACCATCGCCATCACCATCCTCATCCACCGTCCGTCGTCCGCCATCCGTCGTCCGTCGTCGTCGTCGTCGTCGTCAACAACAGCGGCAACAACATCGTCGTCGTCGTCCGTCGTCATCCGTCATCGTCGTCGTCGTCGACATCGTCCGTCGTCCGGCGTCGTCGTCGTCGCCAGTGTCAGTCGTCGTCGTCGTCGTCGTCCGTCGTCCGTCGTCCATCGTCCTTCGTCGTCGTCGTCGTCGTCGTCGTCTGTCGTGTCTATCGTGTCCGGCGTCGTCGTCGTCGTCATCACCATCGTCATCGTCATCGTCGTTACCATCAACAACAACGTCGTTCTCATGTCCGCGCGGTTTTGTTTTCGGAGAGCCAGTCGAGACAGTAGTGGCCCTCCCTTGCATCCTTCGTCTTTGTCGGGGCCACCTAGAGGCCTCTCGTCGCCACAGATTGATCCGAATGGACCTGGGAGGAGTCTTGCGACAGATTTTGAGCCAATTCTGGCCAGGCGCGAGAGCCGCAGCTGCCTTAACTGGCACTCTTCTGGCCCCTTCCTTCCCCGGCGCCCAGGAGTGCGCCGAGGAGTGCCGCCAGGGGACGTACGGCAGGTTCGTGTCGTGCCGGCCCCAGCGTTGGTTCTTGACACCGCTGGGATCGTTCAACCTTGAACGATCGGCCGCTGCCGCAACGTCCGATCGTTCAACATCGATCGATTCTGGGTCGCCGGCGGCGTTCAACCTTGAACGCCCGCGCTCGGGTCGCCGCTGGTCGACACGACGCGAACCTACCGTAAGAGAAAGGGGGGCCTGGCGCCGGCCCTTCGACACCCGCACGGGCATGCAGAATGTTGTGCGAACGTGGCTGCTTGGCTCTCATCTTGATGGGCCTGCTTTCCACCACCACCACCACGAGTTGAAGGGGGAGGGTGTCCTCCTCCTCCTCCTCCTCCTCTTCGTCCTCCTCTCCGTCCTCCTCCCTCCTCCCTATCCTATATATGGTACTGGTGGTGGAAAACGGGCCCATCATCTCATCTCCCACAAAAAATCACCCGGCTGCCCTCACGTATTCTGATCTCGTCCTTGTCTCTGCCATGGAAGGTGACCCAGTCCATGGACTTCAGCACGGCCACGACGTCCTCGAGCGTTGCGGAGGGGATGCCCCGCCTGAAGCCCATGGTCACGAAGTCGCGGAGCTCGCGCTCCAGCTCTATCTGGCCGCCCCTGGCCACCACCACGCGCACCAAGAATGCCTCCATCTGGAGAACGCTGCGCCAGTTGGCCACGGCCCGAAAACCCTCGTCGTTCAGGGGGGCGTTCAGCCCCGACGTCGTCATCTCCCGCCTCTGCCTCTCGAAGCAGTTCAGGACCAGGAGCGCGGCCAGCACGGCGTGAAAGCACGCGTACAGGAGGTCCTCCCTCCAGCAGCAGGTCAAGAAACACAGGCTGATGATCCCAGACAGCAGCCGGCTCTGCCAGCTGAGCACGTACCACGCGTAGCTGGCGAAAGAGAAGACGAAGTCGTCCAGGACGGCGTATTTTATGTCCATCGCGTCGTCGAACGCCTCCTGGACGTCGAGCTCCGGGAGCGCCTCCTCCCGAATCACGGGGTTGAAGGACAGCGCCTGCGGCTGAATGGCGTGCGCGAACAGGTCGTCGTAGGGGTCATCCCCGACCCTCGTCAGCCTCATCCTCAGGAGGACACCTATCAAACACGCACGCACAAACACACACACTCACACACACACACACATACACGCACGCACGCACGCACGCACGCACGCACGCACGCACGCACGCACGCACACACACACACACATACTCACACACACACAAATAGATGCACGCACCGATCCTGGAAAGACCAGTCCTGAGCCCAACATCGGCGTGGACACCTCTGTGATCTCCAGGGGGTCCGAGATCCTCCCCGTGAAGCCCAGAGGAACCCGTGCCTGTGGGACTTCCCCCGAGTAAAGATTCTGCATGATTGCTCCTCCTCCTCCTCCTTCTCCTCCTCCTCCTCCTCCTTCTCCTCCTCCTCCTCCTCCTCCTCCTCCTCCTCCTCCTCCTCCTCCTCCTCCCCCCATCCCAGGTCCTTCTCGGGTCCGGTGGTCTCCCTGGGCATCTCCTGGGGTTCATCCTGGGGTACATCCTGGCTCCAGCCGCGTCCAGCCTCCGAGAAGAAGCATCCGAAATCGCCTCCGAAAAACATCCGGGGCCCGACCCGAGCCAGGGTCCTCACGAGCAGCTCTCCCGCGTTGAACTGGTCGTCGAAGGTGCCCGAGGCCGATTCGTGCCCGGTGACCCTGCATCGCAGAGGGCATCTGTATACACCACCACCACCACCACCGTGCCTCCCAAATCTCCGACCATCTGATTTCTTCAATCTGGACGTTTCCCCTTGATTTGGGCCTCAGGGACCCGTCATCAGGCCTCGAGGGAATGAAAAATGCATCCGGGGCCAAAAGCCAACCCTGGAAATGCGTCGGTCGGAACATCTGGGGCCGCGCATTGAATCATACCGGCGGACGTCAGGGACGCCTGGCCAGGGCCATCCTGGCTGTCCCGGCCCGGAGGATGGTGCACAGTCGAGTGAAGGGTACGAGAATGGGCGTACAGTGGAGGCCAGTCCACAAGAAACCTTCCACAAGGGACCCCACCCTGAGACCCCAGGCCGTCCATTGATTGTTGGTGCGGGAGCGTCGCGCCTTCCACAGCATAACCATCGAAGCCCAAGCAAGCAGGGTGTTTCTTGGTATGGGTATCCACTGTACGGGCATGGACCCAGTCGCAGAAGGCTTGCCCTGTAGAAATCTGCCTGGAGCGAAGAGCAGGCCATGTGGAGCGCCGAATCACGAAGCACGGAACTGGGAAAACAAAAACGTACTGACCCCCGCCACTCCCCGGACCTCTCCCGAGGTGCGCTCCAGCGGTGGCGACGAGGGCCTCCCGCGAGGACGAAAGAGGTACGGAACGGGGGATGGGCAACAGTATGCGTACCTTTGCTCCTCTGAGGAAAGGAGCGTGTGGTGGGCCGATTTTCCACCACCGCAACCATCGGTAGGAGAGGGGAGGAGGAGGAGGAGGAGGAGGAGGAGGAGGAGGAGGAGGAGGAGGAGGAGGAGTAGGAGTAGGGGAGGAGGAGGAAGGAGGAGGAGAGGGAGGAGAAGAGAGGGAGAAAGAAGGAGGAGGAAGGAGGAGAGGAGGAGGAGGAGGAAGGAGGAGGAGGAGCAGTAGGAGGAGGAGCAGTAGGAGGAGGAGGAGGAGGAGGAGAGGGAAGAGGAGAAGGGGGAGAAGGCAGGAGAAAGAAGAGGAGGAACGGGAAGAGGAGGGTGAGGAGGAAGAGGAGGAGGAAAAGGAGGAGGAGGAGAGGGAAGAGGAAAAAGGGGAGAAGGCAGGAGGAGGAGGAGGAATGGAAAGAGGAGGATGAGGAGGTGGAGGAAGAGGAGGAGAAACCCGCCCAGTGAGGCGCGCCGAGTCCGCCTGCTCCCAGCTCGCCTGCTTGCAGGCGACGATCAATGCGCCAGTGCCCTGATGCTGGCATTCCGCGCTGCAGACAAACGCATGCGGCCCTCAAGAAATTCAATTCCCACGGGGTGTGAATATACATCACGCGGACGTAAGTTGTTAAAACTCGCGAGAACTAAATCAGCCGCAACAGCAGTCGCATGGAATTCGCCAGACGAGTTAAACACTCTAGAATACAAATCAAAACAAGATCTAGGATCGCATGCAACCCACCAATCGGGAAGAGAGGGGAGGAGGCGCCTCACAACAGGAACTAGATGAGGACAACCGAAATAATGGAGAATATCATCAGCACCTCCACATCCGAACCGACAGCTAGTACACGCCTGACGAGAGCGCCGAGATGTGTCCATGGTATTGCATATGCATCGTAAAACTCCGAGGCCGGTGTAGCATGGAACAGAACGACCCAAGGTACGGACTCTTTTGTCCACCAGAGACACCTGCTCATTCGTGATGTCCTTATCCCAGGACCTGGGACGATCACCTAACTTGGCCTGCAAAGACGGGAGCGGGGAGAGGTTGAACCATGTTCGTTTCCTCAGCTCTCGCAGAAGCTTGGGGCACTCCAGGACTCCTGCTTCCCATGAACGATGTTGGACGGTCCTCAGGAGGCTACACACATAATTGTACATATCAATCACATGCTGGAGGGGGGAGTGTTGGTAGAACCCATTGAACCTCCAGCCGATGATGAGGTCGGCGCCACCCAGCACCTGCTCAATCTCTGTCTGACATGCCCAAAACGACGGCGACCTGGCAGCATTTCTATACAGAGCGGCACGCCCCTCGCGCCACATGGATCTCGCACTCCAGCTCTGGCCGAATATGGTCCTGAACTGCAGCGGCACCACATTCGCGGTGGCATATATTGGACAAGCAGTGAGGATATGGAGGCCATCGCGCTCCGCATCATTGGCACCGTTGGGAATCGCGAAGAAAGACGTGACGAACATGAGGACACAGATGGCGATCGAGTTGTAAGACACCAGGGCGAGGTGAAGGCCACCAGGAAGCGAGCCAAAGAACCTGCACCTGTCGAAGTACTTAGCTATTGGTCCAGACCATGACCGTTCAACACCGTCGACCCCCAGATGGATTCCGAGATGCGTTCCCCAATTCGGGATGGTAAACTTGCGAACTCGTAAACCATGGACCTGAAAGCTCTCCTCCTCGACTCGGTCGATGTGGTTTCGGCAGAGCACGATAACACGTTTCGGAATGTTCAGGACCAGACCAGTTGCTCTCGACACAGTGACCAGCAAGAAGAGCAGCACGGGCAGGCACCTGCACAGGTCTGTCCTGCGAGAAGAAGGCCGTATCATCGGCGAGCGCATCCAGCGAATTCTGCGGGCTGGGCAACCGATCTTGGACCGCGCGCAGAACTGGATCGAGACAAAGAACGAATACACTCCCAGTCGTCGGACACCCTTGACGGGCCCCACGGAAGATCTCGAAGCCATGAAGCGTCGACCTACCAGGATCAGTTCCACGGAGATGTTCCGATACAAAGCTCTGACCGAGTTCAGAAAAAAGCCAGGGGCCCCATGGGCGAGAGCACGAACTCGATCGAGAAATGCAGCAAGGACGGGAACGCCGCCTTAACGCCCAGGAGGACGCAGCCAGCGCTCTGGACGCACTGCCGGATGCCACACCGCAGCTTGTTACGCTCTAGATTCAAAATGCGGTCAGACATCTGGCGCGCGCGGACGAAGCCATTCTGGATGTCGCCGGCGCCTAACTCGCACCGGTCAAAGAGGGCCGCGTTCAGGGCCGAGTCTAAGATCTTAGCATCTCGGTTACCCAACGTGATAGGGCGGACATCTTCAGGGGCACGCCAGAAGCTCAACGCACCCTCCTACTGGGTGCCCTTCGGGATGAAAACCATGAGGCCCTCATTGAAGTCGTCGGCGAGGGGGGCGCCTGACTGGGGGCGGCGGCATGGGTCGCACAATGCGTCTATCACAAACTCTCCCCCATATTTCCATGCAGAATAGCATGGCCCGTCAGGGCCTGGGGCGCAATCTCTGAAGCGGCTGACAATATGGTGAAAACGCCCCCGAGACAGCTGCCACTCGACGGCGGGGTTTACTTGCTGGATGAACGGGACCAGGTCGGCGGCAACCTGGCTAGAGGCGTCTACAGCGCAGTGAACCTCGGCCCAATGATGACGGAGAGCCTCGGCGCCCATCTCTAAAGACGGATAGTAAAACCAATCTGGAGCACGAATGCCAGCAAGTGCCATCCTCCGATTCCTTGGGGCCCAGCTCTGAACTTGCCTCTGGATCTCAGCGCGACGAGCGTCGCGACGTCGCTCGGGACCAAATTCAGACATCAGCTCCTAGCCATCTGCCGGTGAAATCCGCGCCTGTCCAGCCACCAGAACGCGTCGCGATCTATGAACTTGTCGAGCTTGGGGGGAACCTGGAACGCTGGCCTGATCACATGCTCGCGCCGCGATTCCATGGCGCGGTTGATGGTGGACCGCCAAGATAGATGCTGGGCGTGAGACTCAGGAGGAAAGAACCCCGTTGGTTGTCGACAGCGATGAGCAGCAATATACATACATTCTTGCATTTCGTTTAGCTTGTTGGGCAAGTCGTCCGAGAAATCGATATCTTCGATAATGCGTTGGAGCGCAGCAGGATATCGACGACGCTTAGAGATCCAGGAGGAAACGCCCGGGTCGGGCGAAGGGGTAGAGAGACGAAGACAGAGAAAGACAGGGCAATGATCACTAGGAGCACGTAAATCACATACATCCCAGACTGTACCTGATTGTGGATGATAGTCACACATGTCGGCCGCGCAAGAGTTTGTACAGATTCTGTCTACGCGGGTTAGCGCATTGACGGCACGTATGCCATTCGACTCAATCGTGATCCTGTGGGAGGGGGAGGTCTGCTCGACCTCTACCATGTCTGGGAACGAAAAATCTCGCGAGGCCGTCGACGGCCATCGGGCGGATCTCGCCGCTCGCGCACTGGGCGCCCTCGCCCGGGGCAGAGAAGCTGAAATCGCCAAGCATGAACGACTGAGCCTGAGCAGGAGGTGGCGTCCCCTGCCGGATAGTAGTCAACAGTTGCCGCTTCTCGGCTCTGCTCATCTTGGGTTCTATATGCATGTTGAAGAAGCATACCTCTCCAGACGCAGCCCGGGCACGAATCCGATGACACCGACCACGAGAAACCTCAAACGGGCGAATATCTGAAAACTCAGCCAGGAAACAGGATGAATAACCAGGAGCACCCCCGCTTGATGCGTGAGAGGGGGTCAAATGAACCGTGGATCCCATGGCGGGGCAGCGCATTCTCAATGGCGACCAAGTCCCCCTCGCGCCCGTGCGTCTCTTGGATGCCCGCGACCTCTGGGTGAGCACGCGGATAATGGAATCGGGAATGTTTGGCGGCTATGGTTTCGAGCTGCCCATAAACCCTGCGAGTTCCACGCGAAGACCTCGAGACCCGAGGAGCACTGGAGCCCAGAGAGGGGGGGGACTGGCGGGGATCCACTAGGGGGCCTCTCGCGCAGGGAGGAACGAGCAGAGGACGAGGAAGACGACGAGGGCGACGACGAGGAGGACGAAGACGACGAGGAGACCGACAAGGAGAAGGAAGAGCTGCGCTGCTGAAGCCGATTCTGAGACAGGCCGCCGCCTGGAAGAGCCAGCAGCGGCTCGATCCCCACACCAGGGAGGCTGTCAAAAAACTTTAAGAGACTGGACGCTGGCAACAGAGTTTCCTAGATGTACCCGTCGCTCGCCGTGTCGATGGCGACC